TCTTACAGCATATCTTCTGTTTTGAGTATTGCTATTAAATAGATTCCATATTATCCTATTTAATTTCTTATAATTAAATAGAAGGAAAGATACTATTCAGAAATATGCCATGAAAAAAATAGTATCCCTAAGAGAAAGTTTTAGAGGTCTTACTGTTTTCCTCTGGAAAATATCTTTTCTTTTTTAAATATTCACATTCATTGGTCCTTAAAGGACATAAATGGTAATGTGATTCTGAAATTATTTAATAGCAGTTGAGGTTTTACAATTGTTATGAATTGTCTGAAAAGTTTACTAAACTATAGTATACAGAAAACGTAGTTATGGTCTCATTCCTTAGTCTTTCAAGTAATTTGTGCTGTATTTAGTTGTAAAGTTTTGTTATTTAGAGTTTTTAAACCTGTCTACTTGAGCTCTAGGAACATAATTATATAAAAATTGGAAATGTTCTAACTGAAATTTGGTGTTTTGTTTTCATGTAAATAATGTGCTGTACCTTATATTCAAGATATATTTTAGTGTTAGCTTGGAATAAGTGGTATGTAGTGGAATGGATTCATGTTACATCAGTCATCTGCTCCCTCACCATCAAGCTGACAAAAGCAATTTCAGAGTAGCTTACTAAGGTTGAAGTATTAAGAAACTTGGTTATTCTTACCACCATGCCTCTCAAACTGGAATATGGAGTTTATGTGGGAGTGTCAGTTGTACTCAAAAGACTTGTGAAAGGATACATTTTAGTATTATTACAGACATTAGTGTTTTATGAAATCTCATACAAAAATCTGATCTGAATTTTTAAGATTAAAAACAGGAAACTAGGGGACTGGGCATGTAGCTCAGTGGTGGAGTGCTTGCTTATAATATGTGTGCCTCCGAGTTTGACCCCCTTCCACCAAAAACAAAACAACAAAAACCAAGAGACTGCAGATATATAGGAAGGTTGTTAAAGGCTATTTTGAGCTATATACCCAAACTTCCTTTTTCTTCCTACTACCCATTCTCTACATTGTGAGCTAGTTAACTTGAGATACATGATCCTGGGATTTTGTTGTGGTAAAGGATCTGTGATTCCTTACTGAGAGCGATCTTGGAATATCAGTCATGTAGAAGATCTTTCAAAAATGTTTATAAAGATTTTTATTTCATGTCATATTTACTCATTGACTCACATTGTCTTCTTATTACATTACCATGTATTTATGGGATAGCAGATATGGAAGACAGTTTCATGGCTTCAAATATAAAGTGTACAATATTGAAGCTGTATTAAGTGAACCTGCCAAAAACATGTTGTTTTTAAATAAAAGATGGTTTTGGTTTACTGAGTGAATATGTGAGGTAGATTCATTCAAATAAGAATTATTTTACCATTGTAAGAAATGAAGTTATCAGATGTGAAAAATAAGCCTCTGTAAATACGTTAGTATCTTATAGAACACCTTAGTATAAAAGTTGTTGGTTCATTGAACTCTATAATTATCTGAGCCAGGCGCCTATTTTAAACATAATATTTTTTAAAAGTGGTAGCTCTCTATAGATCATTATTATTTGATTAGTAAGAGTCATCTGAGCATGAATGAGTCACATGTGGAAATTTAAAATGGTGCTCTTTTACATTTCAAAGCATTTCTAAATCCATTTCTAAAAAGCACAATGCAGGTTTAATGTACTATTAACATGAACTCAGCTTAATTTATCTAATGTCATGGAGTTTTGTTCTAACTTTTAATAAGGTAAAATGGGGTCCTGAGAAAGAAACACGAAATGAGAAGAGCAGCAGTGATCTTCAGGTTGAAAATGATGATAAAGGGACAGCAGCCCAGACGCCATCATGTTTAAGGGCACGTATTGATCCTAACTTGAATGCTGTAAGGATTGAAAAGTTATCTGATGATGAAGAAGTAGACATCACAGATGAGGTAGATGAGTTGATTTCTCAAACACCACAAAAGAATCCTAACAGTAGTCTCTCATCTGACAGTCCTAATAGTAAAATATGTGAAACCAGTCGCAGAGCATGCATACCCGAGGAAAGTCCCTTTTCCGAATCTTCCAGGGAGCATCTTCACAATATAAAGCAAGACGAAATGGAAACACATTCAAGCTCAGAAAATACAGTGTGGACTGAAAAACAAGGCAACGGTGGCAAAAACCCAGTTGAGTTAAATGATCAGAAACATAATAAACTGCATGCTGGAAACATAATAATAGATGACGCTGGACGGTGGCCTTCTTCAGAGCCTTGTGAAATTCAGAAAGGTGCAAGTGATAGTGAAGTGCTTTTTCATTCTTGCCAAGTGGTGGAGGAGAGCCATGAGGAAGAAGAGCTTAAGCCACCAGAACAAGAAGTAGAAATAGATAGAAATGTTGTTCAAGAAGAAGAAAAACAAGCAATTCCTGAGTTTTTTGAGGGGCGCCAAACTAAGACACCAGAGCGCTATTTGAAAATTAGAAATTACATTTTGGATCAATGGTAAGAATAACATTTTAGATGCTGCTTTAAAAACCTGATGCCCTAAAGTATCTTAATTAGGCCTGTTCAGGCTTTAGGATTTTGCTGTAGTGACCCCCAGGAACTTTGACGTATCACCAAGACAGGCGTTTGTATAGGTACTGTAGATGGCAGTGGTCTTCTAAGTCACTTACCATAGTTCACAAAATTAGTGGGTGCTGCTTTCTTTCTTCATTTATGCAGTTTGTTTTCCTTTTCTTCCAAGACACACTGAAATAGGAACTTTTCCCTGGAAATTAGGATCTCTCCCACACCACAAATTTTCCCTTCCCTGAACTTCAGAGGACTTATGTTTTAAATTTGGTCTCTGTTTAGGGAGGCATTCCCTGAACACCCTATCTAATATAGTCTGTGCCTGTTTGTCACATTCTATCCCTTTATCCTTTTTACTTTTTAGCACTATTGCTATCTGACAGAGTGGTACATATTATTCACAGGTTTGTTAATGGTCTCCCCCATTGGAACATAAAGTCTCTGAGATCAGAAACTTTAAATTGTTCATCTCTATGTCCCCAAAACCTAGAACAATTCCTGTTGTGTAGAACACAAAAAAAGTCATAGAATAAAATAGCAGTTGAGTAAAAAATATCTGTGAGATAGCTGAATACCTAGTTTATAGTATCTGTATTTGAATCCTGTTTCTGTCACTTACTTTTTTTTTTTTAATTAATTTTATTGGTACATTTTAGGTATACAGTATAATGACATTCATCATTGGAAATTTGCACCTTTATGTAATCTCTCTTGGTTCTTTTTTCCCCATTCCCCTGCCCTCCCTTTAACCCCTCCATCCCTCCCTATTTACAAAGACTTTGTTTCCATTTTTTCATTTTCTCATATTAATTCCATTCCCTTGTAAATAAGTGCTGTAATCACACTGCATTCTTGTTTCCTCATTTCTAAAATGGGATTATTAAGTTCTCTGTTACTATTATATTGTGCTGTCTAGCATGGTGCATTAAACATATTCAGTAAATAAATGTTTTATGAATTTATTTCTTCCACAGTTTGGGGGAGTTTCTTGATCCCTTTGGAATCCCCTATAGTTAGTATCTATTTCTGTTTTCCACTAAGAGTAAGCATTTAATATTTATTGGCATCATGATTAAAAATAAATACAAAGCTTTTAAACATTTATAAAATAGGTAATAATTAAGACATTGCCTGGCAAAGCTAGAGTAAGTAAACCTAAGAAATATATTAGAAATTGAAAGATCTAGTAGCTCAAGTTATAGCTTAGTTGTAGAGTACTTGCCTAGCATACATGAAGACTTGAGTTTTGATCTCCAGAACTTGGGAGGTTCTACTTGTAAATCTGTCCCTTCTGTTATCAAAAGTTCCCTTTTCAGTCAAAGATCTGGATTTCTGGACTTGAATTTGAATCTGTACATAGATAAGCCTTTTTTTTTTTTTGGTCTGTACTGGGAGTTGAACCTCAGGGCCTCTGCACTGAGCTACATCCCCATCCCTTTTTTTAATTTTGTATTTTGAGGCAGGGTCTTGTGAAGTCATTAAGTTGCCTATACTCAGTTGGAATTTGATGCTGGGACTAATTTCAAGGTCCTGGGAACACTGGAATCTAATGAGTTTAATATTGGGAAAAGAGTAATTCTGGTAAAAATTTCGCTGTGCAGGTACTTGTAAGTTAACTGCGTATTTTAAAGCATTTTACTTCTGAAAAAAAAATGCTTGAATATCATCCATTATATTTACCACACATTTACACATTACAAGTGCATAAAATGTTAAGATATTTCAGATATTATTTTTCCCAGAAATCTTTTTTTTTCATGCTTTTATTCATCCAAAATAATTGTACTTCTGTCTCTTAATTAGGAAGATATGCAAACCAAAATACTTAAATAAGACCTCAGTACGCCCTGGCCTGAAGAACTGTGGGGATGTTAATTGCATTGGACGGATTCATACATACCTGGAGTTGATAGGAGCAATCAACTTTGGATGTGGTAAAAACAGAAGCTTAACATATTTTACTCAACATTTTTTATTCTTCACTGTCCTTGACTTCTGTGACATAGAATCCAAGTAGATTTAAGAGAGATACTGTAATAATACAGAATAAATACGTTAAGATTTTACTGTAAAACAGATTTCTGCTAATGAAATGGTTTCCCTTTGACCTGCAATGAAAATTGAAGTATATACTTTCAATGGAAAAATATTTGATTAAAGCAATAGAAATAATTTAAACATATATTTCTTTCTGTGATAAAAGTAAAATAATTTTGAAAGTCCAGTAGTATCCCACTCAATTTACAAACACATGTTGAGTTCAAGCAAGGCCATCCCAAACTGCATCGTGAGACCTTGTCTCAAAAAAATAAAGATGAGGCCAACACGGCACTTAAAAAAGTTTCAGATATTGGGTATGTTTCTACACAGGTATTTCAAAATCCAAGTAAATCCTAAATCTGAAATACTTCTGGTCCCAAGAATTTCAGAAAAGGATTATTCAACCTGTTCTGGATTTGTGCTAGAAATGCTGTTTAGCAATGATTAAATAAAGGAAAGAATTTATGGGCTTCTGTATGTAAATGTTACAAAAGCACCAAAATATTTTAATGTAAGTTTCTTTCACTCTAGTATTTTTCAAATTTAAAATTAATGAATATGCACATTTCAAAGTATATTATGCCTATTGAATTAACAATCTTTTTGAAGAAAGCTTTTGCATAGTGCTAGAAAGGTAGAACCTTATCACCCACGGTTTCAGAGCAGTATGCTTTTTTTGGTATATATAAGTGAGATGATTAACCAGAAAACTTCCTGACAGATGATTTCATTTTATAGAGAGAGAATTTACAGTCTGCCTTGGGTCTGTCCTTCACATTAGTGGCTTGGTTTGCCCAAAGCCATGTATTCCACGTGTTGAGAATAGCTTTCCAGGAAAATTAAAGCATCTGCCACTAATAGAAAATGAAATCATGTTTTCTATATTAAACTGCCAAAGTTAGCAGAGTAGATTCAGTACTTGTTTAGTAAGAAATTAAATAAATTTCTCGCTTCCTGAATAATCCCATTTTATTGTCCCTGTAATAATAGCATTACTTGAGAACTACCGAGTAGCGTATCTCATATAGGATTATGGAATAAGCATCGTAAGAGCTCATCTGTAGTTAATATAGATGTGTCTTCCTATTTAACCAGTGACTTTCATACAATAATAGATTGTTTTATCTTCCTTGAATTCCAATAGAACAGGCTGTGTATAACAGGCCACAACCCATTGATAAAATTCGAGTCAGAAATAAAAGAGACTCTGTAGAAGCATACCAGCTGGCACAGCACCTGCAATCCATGGTAAGCAGCCGTCTTTCTCTACATTGCTCTTCCCAGTGTAGGAAGGAATGCTTACTTCTCTGTAACTGCTGCTTACTGAACGAATGTCTTTTCTCTTGTATTTCACCTTAGCCATTTGCTTTTCTGTCTTCTCTTCAATTTCATGTTGGTTTATGAGGCAAAACAAGGTATGAAGCCTTCAAACTTCAGTTCAGATCTTATGTAGAGCTATACGTTTTGCTAAAATGCTCTTGGGCTGCCTGGTTTTGAATTATAAATATGTCGTCAAACAGTAAAATTCAGTTCTCTTTCGTTTTTGTGTCTTTAAAAATACTTCCCTTAATCAGATTTTTGGAGTAGTCTTTGTTTTTTGATTCTTAGGATAAGTGAGTTTTATATTTTACGATTTGTGAGTCTTTAAAAATAGTTATCTGGAAAGTCTTATAAGACATTCATAGTATGATATTGTTAATTTTGTATATACCTGAAAATGATATTAGCTGAAATAAATGGGAAAAAATAGATGATAGAGTAGCTATTTTTGTCAGGACTTAGGCTTTGAACCACTTCTGCCTAGTTTTTTAAAAATTAATTTTT